CACAGAGATCTTCAGAGACAGCCCACAGCTTACTGTGTGGATAACCATCTATCCTGCCTGTCCCAGGTGAAAGGGAGGATGGATTCCTCCGAACAGAGTAAGGCTTTTCTGTAGATAAATGTTTTAACTCTGGTACAGTTTCGTAGTTTCTCCACAGGGGCAAAAAATGCCAGATTTACTTTCATCGTTTCTTCTCCTTCTTTTCTACATTTAAAAAAAATTCCTAATACAACACTTTTCTTAATCAGAGGTGCCTTATCTACCAAAGTAAACTATCAAAGAGTCTAAATTGAAGATAGATGTATTTAGGTCCATTCGGCAAAACACAGTCTACAATTCTGTAAGAGCAGAACCTTTAAGCACTTACCCAGAGGCTAAATGTACTTAATTCGAGGGCACGAAGGATTACCAACCCCTCCTGAGGCAACAGGGCAATCCTCAGACCCTCGGGTGAGAAAGCCCTAAACTGGGAGAAAGGTAACACCAACCAGGACTGTCCTTTACTAGGCACTAAACTAAGAGTTTCAGATGTCCTCTGGAGCAAATAAGCAAAGACAGGAGGATAAACGTCTCCAGATAAGGAAGTAATGAAGGGGTTGGGATTCAGAACCAAGGTGATTATGTGTTCTTTCTCTCCATCATACAAATGTGTCCGCCTTGGATCAAAGCTGCAATGGCTATGGGAAATCATGTCCCTTGGTTTCTTGGTCTGGAAGAGTCCCCTGCGGCTGGTTACCTCTGGTTCTCTCTAATGGTTACCCAGGATTCTCCATAATGCCAAATGCTGATGATAATGATCCTGAGTCATTAAGGGGAAACCATGATCAGTAGCCTTTTAAGAAGGTAGGAAGTATATAATGCATGTTCTATAAAATGTTCAAACCCCTTTGGATTTAAAGGAATATGTAAGTTTCTTTTAGCTAGAGAATGAATGTCTATGGATTAGCCCGTCCCTTTACATAATGGCAATTAACACGAGCTGCAATTTCTCTCCACTACAAAGAAGGGGGAGGAAGGAGGAAAACTTACACTATATGGCTTCCTTATTTTCTTGTGGTAGGAATTTCCGTATAACTCACATAATAAAATACACACTCATAACGACAGATTCCAAACAGAATTTATGTCTAACTCCTCAATCATTCTGCACAATTCAAACCTTTGCTCTTCTCCATCCACTCAAATGTTTATTAAATGCCTACTCTGCTCATGACACTACAAAGGACATGTAAAGAGAAATATGAGTAACTAGCATATTCAATATAGGTATCAAATCTTAAGGAGTGACAACGGCCAGAGGATCATGATTCAAACGAAACAAGTGCTTATAAATAAATAAACGCTGCTCTACATCCTGCCGTGTGCAGTCAGATTGAACACATATGCAGATTACACACGATTTCCCTGGAATATTGCATCCACCCATAATAAAGTGGGAGGACTGACTCTGCACAGCTTACTGACCAGACCTGTTCCTTTATATTCCAATACCACTTCTTGCCATAAGGATCGCGAGCTCCAGCAGAGTTTGATGCAGTGTGCTTACACAATAGCACAGTTTTATGCTGACAAAACTGTGGATCAAACTCAGAGAAACCGTGTCCTGTACACACGACCGGCGCAGGCTGGGACCCTCTACGGCTGGGCTTTCTTTTTCTCAAGGATGAGCAGTTGCTCCCAGGAGACACGCATTAAAGCGTGTGCTCTGTGAACTTCAAACTGGAATCAAGACAACACAGCAAAGAGACTGTAATTGTAGTTTGTTGGGGTTTTTTTGGTACAATGATTTTCTGAACTTCAAATAATTGATTCTGAATGCCTCACTAATTTTTTTTAACTCTTCTTTCTATTGTGATGTTTACTGCCACGTGAAGGGTATACAGCATGCAGTTATAAACTGACTTTCAAATGCTATCTTGTAAAAACTGAGGATTACAAACCAGCAGAATTATTTCAGCAGCTTTAACTCTTGAATACAAACACCTAGGAAACACAGGATCGCTGTTACTTGAGGATCCTGACAGACCCCAGCACCAATGCACCTCATTTGGATGAAATTCGCTATGAAACCGACCACCCTCAAAAACACAAAAGACCCGCCATGTTTACAAACAGTATTATTTCTTCAAACCAAAGGCCCAGAAATCGAAGCCATGGCGAATTATTCAGGACTTTCCCAATAACCACAAAGAGATTATTAATTCCATAGGATTTTCAGATTCAGTTCCCATATAACTTGGTATAAAATAAGTCTATGGTTCTGACACACTATTCCAGTGTTTATCTCTTTATGTCAAGGTATGAAACACAACAGCTTTAAGTGCTGGGCTTTTTATTTAAGGGATATAGCTTGTTTAGAATTGTTTCCAAGTGATGCTAATAATTGCCTGACCATTGATGAAGCACTTGTTACATTACTAGGCTGCATGAACTCTCTTGTGCAATTTGAACACAGGAGTGCAAGCTATCAGAAGAGAGTTAGCACAATAGGTAAGAGAATTGACTAAATGGAAGAAAACTACAAATGGTGGCAGACACAGCCCGAGACCCAAGGTCTCTTTTCTCTAGTTAATAAATGATCACTGAGCAACGTGGTGTTCCTGCCCTTGGGTTAGCCTCTGTCCTACTGTGTCCTTTACAACTGAGAGAAGCTACAGTTAGGAGTGGAGGCTTTTCAGTGTGAAGGGAGGGAGATCAAACCCTGGTTAACCCCTTCCTAGTCATGTGATCTTGGGCACCTTATTGAAATTCACGGAGAGCTTCACTTTCCTCGTCTGCAGAATCCGGTCAATCCTTTATCACATGGTTATTATGTCCCATCAACCAAAGAAAATACAAGAGCTCTTCAAAAGCACTTCATGCCTGGCCACTAGAGACAATCACAACAAACTAAAAACGTTCATGTTGCGGTGGCTGAAACACCGTGAGGTGATATCTATTTAACGCGTTAAGTTGGAGTCTCACCGCAGAAACTTTATCTTGTCTTTGTAGCCTCAGAAAGTAGCACAACTCCTGGCACAAAATACATCCCTGCTGGGTGATGGGTGATGTAAAGAGGGTCCATAAATGCATTCAGGGTCTATCCACTGCAGCCTTACAGTCTTTACCTCTGAAACAGCAATCCTGTCCCCCTCTCTCCACCTCTACCCCCAGCACTCCCGGCCAAAGGCCCCGGCAGTCCTCTCCTACCTCGGGGAGCAGTATCTGTGCAAGCTTTCTTCTGGTCTTCTATTTTTCTTTTCCAGGTAGAGGGATCTCTTCAAAGTGTAAATGGATCTTAACACACTTCAAAGACTGCTACCACTCCTAAGAAAAATACAAAGTCCCTAACCAGGTTTACAGAGATCTCTGCAGTCTGCCTCCAACCTGTCAATCCCAATCCTGTCTTATTTCAAATCACTTTCCTTCCATCGCCTTCTCTCTTTCCCACCTGCACTGGTTTTGGTTCAGTGGCTCACAAACGGTGTTAGAAGCCCTCCACCTTTGCCATCATTCTGCTCGAACGGTCTCCCACCCAGGTGCGGCATATCTGCCATCACCTGTCACACCTCACCTGGGCTTGTTACTCTCCAGCAAAGCCTCCCTGACCGTACTATATAACCCCTTACAGAGCCATGTCTCTGTCCTTCAGAGAACTTACCGGGTTACGTTTATGTTCCCATTTAGTGTGTGTCTGTGCATCTTCCCAACCTAAATACAGACTCCACAATGGGAAGAGCTCATTTCTGGCCCCCTGGCACCTTTATATTCAAAATTTTGTTGAACGAGTCATTTTTATAATATTTTAATATTCTTAAGAGATCGCACATGATCCATCTGTGTGACATCCTGAAAAGATTTTGAGAAGCATTATGATAAGAAGCCAGCACCCTAGCTGATGTGGTTGAGTACCAGCCTAGGAACCAAAGGTTTGCCGGCTCTGTTCCCAGTCAAGGCACGTGCCTGGGTTGCAGGCCAGGTCCCCAGAAGCAGGTGTGTGAGAAGCAAGCACACACTGATGTTTCTCTCCCTCTTTCTCCCTCCCTTCTTCTCCCTCTAAAAATAAATAAAAACTTTAAAAAAGGAACTCAGTGCAGCTACTTATTGACATATTAAGTCAAAATAAATAAAAATGCAATGGCAACTAGCAGATGAAACACTTATTATTTTTCTGAAATCTCAGACTTAGGACCTCATTTCTTTTAAGTTGTAAGCATATGCAACTTCATACGCTTTTCCTGTACAGGCCATTTCACATGGCACCTCTTCCTTGCAGGACCCAACGCTATGCAGCAGCTTTGCAGGAGGCTGAAGTCTCAGCTCCTTTACTCTTTCAGCATCCATGAAGTGATGCAGTCGTCTACACACCTCCGGGGCTTTTGAAGTGTGATGGCTTCGTCAGAATTTTTCAGTAAAAGTGCTAAACTCGCCACACAAACATCACAGCCAGTGCAGTGAGCGCCAGAGTGGCAGGGCACCCGTGCTACAATTTCCTTCAAAAAGAAATAAATTCGCTTAAGGGAACCGCAACTGGGTTTCACTGCCCCTTCATTAGATGACATTAAGTTGCGTAGGAAGGTTAGTGCAAAATTTTCTGTGCTGTTTTAGAATTATAAACTAGTTGTTATACACTTATCAATTGCGGCACGTTAGGCAAGTGAGAAGCTAAGAATCTCATGCTGAAAACATGATGAAAAAAAGTCAGAGTTTGCAGAGATCTGATCCTGGTAAAGGCAGAAAATGCAGCTACAGCCACAGGAAAGCCATCTTTTGCTGGGTTTTGAAGAAGTTAAGCAAGGCGACAAGGAGTGGCCTCTGCCTGGGCATATCTGGCAGCCTTAGCCCTGGACAGTGAGCCACTACCCAAGTACACTAGCATGTACTAGTCCCTCCCATAACGCCAAGATAAACTTTGGAAAAGGCGGGGTCCAGGGAACCAGGACCAGGGCGACTTTGGACCCTGGAAACCTGAAGGGGTCTTTATTCCATTTTTCCCATAGCAAGTTACAGGACCAGCTCACCTGCGAAGACACCGCGGCCCCTGAGACAGAGTGAGGCAAGCCCGGGCTCCCCAGGCTCTGCAAGGCGCTCCCCCGCACGTCCGTCACCACCTGCCCCGGGCGCACTCGCGCCCGAATTTTCTCTCCATTCAGAGTACAACCTGGTCCTTCCACCATTTCCCGATCCGGCACTGGGGCCCCTAGTTTCAGGAGTCTAGGGGAAAAGCTGGGGCGCAATATAACCAGTGCGCACTGGTAATGATTTCATGGAGAGGAAGTTCAAATCGCCCGCGCACCAGGCCACGCCCAACTCCCCGCCCAGCCGCATCCAGGCCACGCCCAGAGCCCGCCCAGTCTTATCCAGCAATTCCCAGAGGCCCGGCCCAGTTACCTCCCTAGGCCCCGCCCAGTCCAGGCCCCGCCCCAGGTTCCACCAAGGTCCCCACCCACCCCGCCAGTGCGGGCGGGCCTCTACTGCGCAAGTGCGGTTTCTCATTTCCCACCCCACCCCACCCCCCGACCCCAGGCTCCGGACTGGGATTGTGGTTGAAACACAAAGGCCAGGTGAGTGGAGCCCAACTGAGGGAACTAAGCCCCAGTATTGTGAACTTTATTTTCTTTGCTCTGAGGCTCTGCACTTGTCCTTGAGCTACTCGGTATATGCACATTTTGTGACCACGTCCTCTTGTTCTGTCCTGCAATCCAAGGTTGTTCAGGCTGGCATACTTCAGGTGTTTTCGTGCCCTGTTAGGACCCGGGAAGGAGGAGAGGGGCTCAGAGTAGGGTTTTTAGGACACACAGCTTTTATTTTTTCCCTGTAAGTTTAACGTCTTAGAAAATGTGTCTCTATATAACAAAACTATTTTCGTGTCTGTATTAAAAACCCCTTCATTTTTACACACCGGAATGAGCCCTGCCCTTATCCACACAAACATCCTGTTACGGGGTTTTCCAAGGTGATGCTGTTTGAATTTGCTTTGTAAAAGGCAGGGCTCTGTATACTTTGAGGGCAATGCATAGCTTTTCAGATTTTCACAAAGATGCCTACATATAAATACAAAGTTAGTGGCTCCATACAACTTCGCAAATAATGAAAAATCTATTCCTTTTGCAACACTGATATAATAGCACATTAAAACAGGATACCAATTCATAACTGATTTAATGAGCACATCACAGTGCTGTCCTGAAGCCCAAAGGCCCCATATACTAGAGGCTTGAATTAGAATCTACTAAAGACTTGAATTCAAAAATTGGAAAAGCATTTAATCTCCCTCTTTGTGGCAAGATGTTAGTGGTTAAAAAGTTAATTAGATCAGGTTCAGTATTCTCTGTATTTGATTCCCTTGTTTAATTGTTATTGACTCTTCAAGGTCAAGTTACTAACTAATCCAGACACAATCCTCCCTACAACTGAAATTTAGTCATAATATCTGTGCTTTAATTTAAAAAAAAAAAAGCCCTCCTCGTTCACTTCTCCTTTTTCATTACAGTTTGCTACCTGATGGTTGATCTCCTTCGTTATTTCTAAGCGTCTGCAGGGCAGGAACTTGGCGGTGGCCTGGCTAGGTGGTTCTGGCTCAGAGTTGCTTGGGCAGTGGCAATCAAGGTGTTGACCAGACTGCAGCCATCTAAAGGCTTGATTGTAGCTACAAGATCCACCTGTAAGGTGCTCACCTCTATAGCCTTTGGCAGGAGGCCTTGCTTTCTCATCTAAGAGTCTCTCATCTACACTATACCTTTTGGCTTCCCTGGGCCACACTGAAAGAAGAACAGTTGCCTTGGGTCACTCGTTAAATACACAACCACTAAGGAAAACTGATGAACAAAAAAAAGTTTTAAGTAAATTTTTGGTGTTGTGTTGGGCCTCAGTCACAGCCAACCTGGGCTGCGTGCGCCCCTGGCTTCGGGTTGGACAGCCCTGAGTCTATGGGGCTCCTCAGCGGTTGCCATGGTGGGCTGCCGACTCCCCTGACAGTGTAGAATTCAAGAGAGACGCAAGGAGAAAGCTGGCGTTTATTTTTATTGCCTTCTCTCTGAAGCGACATACCCCCACCTTCACTGCTGCTATTTGTAGAACCCAGTCGTCCAGTACAGCCCAGGAGTGGGTAGGGAGGGGGTGGGGAATGAACCTTTACCCCTGGAGGGGAGGGGGTCAAATACTTTGTGAACATGTTTTAAAGCCCCCACGCTCTTCATGGATCTGATTCACCACGGACCTCCCATGTCTCTGTAGGAGCTGTGTGGTGGTGCACATTTGGAGCAAACGTGGTCTTTGCGGAGAATTAGGTTTGGCACTCCTTACAGAGCTGAGGAAGGGCTGGGGAGTAGGACTGAAGACATTAAGGGGCTCCACTGACGTGTCCGCTAGGCCAAGCTGGGTGTTGTTTATATGGGACTGGCCTCTGAGTCTTTGGTACTTCTCTTTGTTATCCTTCTTACATTCAACTAAGCAGAATCACATGCATTGTGCCTCTGCAGTGTCTGTGAAAAGAGTTGTCTCATCCTTGCAAGCAATCCTGCCATGGTGAGAACTCTGGGTGCTTTTTAACTAGGCTTATTATGCCAAGAAACAAAAATGTCCACCCCTTTTAAAGCCCCTCTCCCTTCCAGCTTACTGAAATTCTCCCAGTGTTTAAGTCCTAATTGAATGTGTAGCCTCTAGGAAACATTCCAGATACAGTTAGAATGAATCTCTGATCTTCTGAAGTCGGCTGTCCCATTGATTTTACCAAACCGGCCTCATGTTCTAGTTACTTGGTACATACTGGTCTTGTGCTAGACTAGACTCTCATTCCTTGAAGGCAGAAGAGTGATAGAGAGCAGGGTGACAGCTGTCAGAACCTGGGTGGGGTAGGATATTGGGGGGCTGGGTGAGGAGGGAATGGAAGGATTGAGCAAAAAGAAAAAAAGCTTTTGGTCATGAGCAACAACGTGGTGATTGTGGGGTAGGGAGCGGGGAAGGTGAAAGAGGGTGAAGGGGGATAAATGGTGATGGACGGAGACTTGACTTGGGGTGGTGAACACACGGTACAGTGGACAGACGATGTGCTGTGGAATTCAGCACCGGAAGCATAATTTTATTAGCCAGTGTACATTCCATAAAAAGACAAAAAAAGGAGAAGGGTGAATATCCTGTTCATCTTTATGCTTCCCATAGTAGCAAGGAGACTGCGCACAATATTCCACAAATATGTGTTGAATTATGATTATTAAGATTTAAAAAATTGGAGCTTTCTGTCTCCGGATACCTTTCTCATATCATTAATACTGTTCTTATGAATGGAGAAGCTCAAAGAGAGGGGAACTGAGTGGATCCTTTCAGAAGTGGGGGTCCTAGGCAAGGAGAAAGGTCAATTAAGGACATTTTGAGCAAGAGGAGCAGAGGAGAACATGTGCTGCCCTTGAGATATGAGGGTTAAAGGGGAAGTGTCAGGCAGGGCGGCAGGGCTGGAAGACACCAGAAAGATTCCTTGGGACCGCAGTGTGGAGAACACAGGATAAGGAAGAGGGGATTCTGTTTTCCCGGGAGTATCGGCAGCCAGTGAAACTTTCGAGCAGGGGTCAGGACCCCAAGCCCGAATTCATGACACTCATTTCCCCAAACTGAAACCCAGAGCTGCAGTCAGGCTAGGCAGCCCCTCTCCGTTGGGACCTGTTATCTGTTCCTTCTTCATTGAGAAATAGATGGACCACAGTTCCTCCTGGTAGGTGGGTAGAGTTCCTCACACATCACTGAGTTCATGACACTTGGAAGAGTCCTTAGTTTACAGTTGCTCTGTTTTCACTAAGAATAATACCAGATATTTATTCAGTGCTTCCTTGTGCCAGGCAGAGTTCAAAAGGTTTTGAAATACGAACTCTTCTGATACTCGAAACAACCTCTGATGTTAGCCCCATTTTTATCTTCATTGTGCAAAGGAAGGACCTGGGGCAGAGAGAGGTCAGGTCCCTTGCTCAAGGGTCACAGAGTTGGGATTTGTTCAAACACGCTCTGGTCTAGTCTTCGCCAAATAGTTTCAGCAACGTCAGTGTTACACTGGCCCTGCCCCAGATATTTTTAGGAACAACTTAAGAAATTTTGGTCAGCCTTATACGGGAATTCAAGACAATCCAAAAACCTCCCTTTGGCGTAAAGTTCTGACATTTTGGATAATGAAACTTTGTTTTTACTCTTCCCCTTACAAGGTCTGTAGACAGATTTTTAGCTCGAAGGATAAAAACGTAACATGGAGTAAGTTCTTTAATTTCTGTGTTTTGCATAAATTACCTGACTATATTTAACAAGTAGGCAGGTAACGTACATCATCTGTCAACATCCTCTTAATCTGAGCTCTGCGTAGAGCAAGCAGCCATTAGTGAACGTCACTTGCAGGTGTTTTTGGTGGTATTTCCTAAAGAGTCTTCAGTTTCTACCCATTAAGAGAAACTTTTAACACTACCAGAAGAACAATAAAATGCACAGCAACAGATTCTGTTTGGACACTTTTATTGTTTGGAACCTGTACCAAATGTTGACACTCTGGGATGCAGTGGAATCCGGTCCAGGGTAGAGGCTGGAAGAGCCAGGTGACAGTTTCCTGCCTGGGAAGTTGGAGTCTACATGGAAGCATCAGCCTCGGCCTCCTGGGTGACACACAACTCCTCTGACATCCCAGGCTTTTCAGAGAGCCGTAAAGTAGGATGGCAAGGCCGTCACTCCAGCTGCGTTCTGCCAAATGCTTTGTGGAAGGGAGTATTCTAATTCATTTTTTAATTTAAGCATGTTAAGTAAGTAAAGGGAGTAGGCGAGCATGAACTTAATTTGGGAGGCAATAATAATTAAATAGTTATTAGACATTTACAAAAGATCTGAATTCTGAGGCCTTCTCTCCATGAAAGAGGATAGAAGAATCCATTGATTTTTCTGTTCGGAGGGAGAAAAGCAAGTTATTTTTGGTTAATATCTTGGAGCAACATTTTCCATCCGTCTCCTTCAAGTCAAGGCATGAAATCCACCATGGCTCATTCATGCACAAAACTGTGAGCAGCGGATGTGTGGCAGGAAGAGTGCAGATGAAGGAGATGAACTAACTCACAGAAGAGAGGCAAGGCGCACCAGGACCCTGGCAGAGGTAACACAGTGCACTCTGAGTAGACCCGGGGAGGTGACCTGGGTTCCCAGACATCTCGGCTGAAGTTTGAGAAGAAAGAACTAAAGGTTCACGCATGAACAATAGGGGGGAATTTTTAGGCGG